GTTTTCTCGTGACTTAGTATGGCGACGTTTGGTCTACCAAGAAATGAACCTAGGACCTACGATGACGCTAACAGATCCAAATTCCGTTAAATGGCTTGAAGCCATGAAATCTGAGATGGACTCCATGTACATAACAATTGTGGTCTCTGAGGGGGTAAAACCCATAGGTGTAAATGGGTTTTCAAGAAGCTGACATGGATGGCAAGGTGCAATACCATAAGACATGACTAGTTGCCAAAGGTTTCAACACATTCATGGCATTGACTATGAAGAGACTATGAAGAACCTTTTCGCCAGTTGCCATGATTAAGTCTATCGGATTATGTTGCAATTTTACATATATGACTATGGATTTGGCAGATGGATGTCAAAACAACTTTCCTGAATGGAAATCTTGAAGAGGAATGTATATGACACAATCTGACAAGTGCCTGAATCCATGTGGTTTTATCTGTACTCAAAAGAATGTCACAAACGGAAGGTGATGAAATGGATAAAGAAAGAGGACATATTTTCCAGTAAATATGTATTCGTTCCAATGTGTTACGAGAGTGAATCGTATTTAGCTATTTTGAAAGATGGAGTTATACTAAACTTGAGCTTAGAAGGTGCTTAAAATTTTGAGGTTCAATCTCTGTAAGGGTCATTGGGTGTATTGATCTTATGCAACTTGGCGAAGATTGTCATCACATCCCAAAACAAGCTGCATGATGTTACTAGATTCACTACGAAGACTGACCCGAGGAGGTTTGAAACATTGATAAGGAAGTAAGTTATAAAACCGATGCATAATTTTAACTTGAGACTATGACGTAATCGTATTTACTGATTCAGTGTGCTAATATGCTTACACATTAATGCTTTGAGTTTTATACCTTATACATAATTTCAGACAGATATTAAAATTTATTATTATTAAAACATAAATATATATTGAAAATCTCCTTTGGGAGAAATAACAATATACGATAATTAAACTTAATGATGCAATCTTTTATAGTTTCTAATTGGTAATTAAAGTACTTTAGTTAGACATGTTGTTATCTTGGATAACTAAACACCACCTAATCAAGTACATTAATTACCACGGATGAGTTCATAATTATAGGATTAACTAATCTACCTTTGGGCGATCCTTAACTATCTTATAACATACAAACTTCAAATTACTCATGTCTGATACATTATGTCATCTCATTAAAGCATCTGATGATCATGAGTAATTGAATCTTATTTAGTTTGATATTTATGGGATAATCATTTTAATTTGGCCACTTTGGTGACTAACAAATTATATATAATATAGTTATCAAACTTAAATAATAACTATAAGTTTGTCATACTTATCTTTCTCTAAAGAAAAATTATACTTTAGAAACTTATACACATTTCATGTGCCTAAACACACATTAAGGACAAAATTGGGTTGATTCGACCCTCATTGTTAATTTTGATTGTCATCGTTAACTTTGACGGTTGACCTTTAACTTCAACCATTTACCGTTAACGTTAACGGTTGACCGTTAACTTTAACTATTTTACCCAAACCATTCCAATTTCACAATTTCCAAAACCCAATTAATTTCTACATTCCATAAGAACCCTAAAAATAACTTAATGGAAAATTCATCAGTCTCTAAACCTGAAATTGCTCTGATACCACTTGTAAACTTAAAAGCAAACTCATCAAAAGCAAAGAATTCGATGGTTTTGTTCTTGAGGGACAAGCTGAAGATATGAAAGTTGCAGAGGTCCATTTATGGACTTAAGCAAGCTTTAAAGAACTAGAACATTCGTTTTGATGAAGCTGTAAAAGACTTTGGTTTCATCAAGAACGAAGATGAATCCTAAGTTTACAAGAAAGTGAGTGAGAGTGCAGTGGCATTCAGACACTTTCAAGTGCCTGAATTCCTTGTGGTTTTATCTGTACTCAAAAGAACATCACAGACGGAAGGTGATGAAATGGATAAAGAAAGAGGACATATTTTCCAGTAAATATGTATTCGTTCCAATTGTGTTATGGGAAGTGAATCGTATTTAGCTATTTTTGAAAGATGGAGTTATATTAAACTTGAGCTTAGAGGGCTGCTTAACATTTTGAGGTTCACTGTCTGTAGGGGTCATTGGGCTGTATTGATCTTATGCAACTTTGGCGGAAGATCGCCGTCGCATCCCAAAACAAGCTGCATGATGTTAGTAGATTCACTGCAAACGACTGACCCGAGGAGGTTTGAACCATTGATAAGGAAGTAAGTTTACGAAACTGGATGCCTAATTTTAACTTGAGACTATGACGTACATCGATATTTACTGATTCAGTGTGCTAATATGAGCATATTTTCAGCTGACAAAATGTCTTGGCAGGTTTGTCATGTACATATATGAAGCAGAAACAATGTCAGAACTCAAGAACAGGGTTGCTGGGATACCTCTGCTGGTTCCTAAGGTGATGACAACATAGTAAAAAAGTTAGTTATTTAGCTTGCCCTTGTTTCGTTAATGTCATAGCTAACTAAATGTAATTGCACGCAGGTTCGACAGCAAAGGACCCAAACTAATGTGGGTATTTTGTCCTTTACTATATTTACAAGTTCGTTGAACGTGCACCACTGAGTATTTCAGTTACTGATGGCTGCCCTGACTTTGTAAGTTATGTAGTGTTGTAACATAATGGTACTTTGATAATAAAATTCCTCTGCAATTTTAGTATATGATTCAGTTTTACAAAATTCTTTTATGTTGAACACTATAGATGAATGAGGATTGGTCTGCTATGGAAGACGTGTAGTCCTTCCATAACAAACTACTCACGGAGGCCATGTAGAGTCAGGTTTTAGATTCTCCTAGCTTGTTCTTTCAGTTTTTTCTATCGGAGTACCATCATAATTGCGAAAGTGCGATAAGTAACAATTGAGTTTTTTCATTAATGTGGGTTGTACGAGTAATAGGTTGGGGTGTCTTATGTACCGGAAAAAATGAGTTTGTAAAATATCATTTGAGTTAGATTCTGCAACATATTCATGATTAATGTAAACTGCAACGAAATGTGTACTATTGTGCTATAACATTCTGTTTGTGCGAAATGGGAAGATGATTACATTCCGTCCTAGCAGAAAATTGGAGTGGTTGATTGGAGTGATTAAGTCGTGTGTGATGATGTTTACTGAAGTTCTTAAAATCCATGCCTGTATTGTATGGAGTCAATTGGCAGCTGCTGTAATTTTTTTTTTAATTTTCTGCGGACAAATTGAATATAGAGTAAGTTTGAGACAATATACAGTTGGTTAAGAATTATTTGTATAGGAAGTTATATATTCACACGAGTCAAGATGTTACAATGAAGTTATAAATTTGGCAATTCAAGTCTGAGAAATTGTGACTCCGAAATCTCACCTCCAACTAATATGCTAAATCACGGAATTTGTCAATTATTAATTGCCTTTTCCGGACATGCAATCCATTACATTCCGTAACATGTAACCAAACATGGCATTAATTTGAACCCAGTCATCAAGAAAAGGGAAATTTAGTAAACTAATACGTAAGTATAATATAATTACCCTGAACCAGACCACTAATTTTATAATGAAAGATTTCTTTAGCTTTACAAATGAACTTTCTCAAGCATTACAAAAAATTAAAAAAAATAAAAAAAAATAAAAGATCAAGATATTGTAAATGCTATGAATTTGGCTGAAGTGTGTAAGCAAGCTTTACAATTGATGAGGGATAGTGAATGAGAGAATTTACTTAGTAAAATTTGTTCTTTTTGTGTCAAGTATGACATTGATATTCCAAATATAGATGACAAATTTTTTATTCAAGGGCGATCACAACGGAAGACTAAAGGTATCACAAACGTACATCATTACTGTATTGAAGTATTTGATAGTGTCCTAGACATGCAGCTTCAAAAGTTGAATAATCGTTTCAATAAGGTAAACACTGACTGACTTATTTGTTTGACATACTTATGTCCAAATGAAAATTTTGTTGCTTTTGGTAAGCAAAAACTGATGCGCTTTGCTGAACTTTATCTAGAAGATTTTTCTAACTTAGAACTCATAGCACTTGATTCTCAATTTGATATATACATTTTGAATGTACACTCTAATGTCAAATTTATAGAATTGAATGGGATTGAAGATCTTGCAAGAGTGATGGTTGAAAGTAAGAAGGATAAAGTATTTCTATTTGTTTATCTGTTGATAAAATTAGCATTGATTTTACCAGTTGTCACTGTTAGTGTAGAGAGAGCATTTTCATCAATGAATGTTGTGAAGAATCGTTTGCGAAATAGAATAAGTGATTAATAGTTGAATGATAGTTTAGTTGTGTATTTAGAGAATTATGTGTTTGACGGTATTAATAGTGAAATCATTATATTATATTTTCAAAAAATAAAATCTCTTTGAGGACAATTATAAATGTATTAGTTAATGAGAATTCTATTAATACAAATATTTGTGTTTATTTATATTTATATTAATTGTTACTTTAACCTTTGACCCCACTAAGTTTTATTCCTGGGTCCACCCCGGTTAGTAGTAATCTTATATTTTCAATAATAAACAAATCGCCAAAACAAACGTACCTTTAGTTAATCTTGGAGACAACATTAACAATTTCACACCCTTTATTAACTGTAAAGCCCCGTTATTCACAGTTAGTTAATGTTAACTCATGTGCAGAGTAATGAACAAATACTTACACCTATGGTCAGTTCTCACAACCTAGGGGTATGAAACGTTATCATCTACTTTAATTATTTAGTTTATCCTTAATTCAAAATCACCTAACCACATTAAAACAAGTTAGTTTGTATTAAGAATTTGTATATGTAGTATTATTCTTAATAAAATATCAGCTTTTATAAGTATTTGTAATATTTTCTTAAAATCCTGGGTAGTAATAGCATTAAGTAATCTTTAGAGCATAACTCCAATATAAAATTTAACACGTTGGTTGGGAAAGTTGGCAGCCTATATGGTTTCGGATGGGCCGTCAAACTCTGACGAAGCCCAAACCTTATTGACTGTCTTTAAAAACTCACACAAATCCTAACCCTAAACCTAGCATTGCTTCGCAGCAAGCGGCACAGAGCAACCAGTAGCAGACATTTCCTCAGGTAACAAATGCACCCTTTGTAGTTCATTTCTCTGTTGTCTCTGCTCTGCTAGTCGATTGATCATATTATCATTGTTAGCTATATCAATTTGGCGCTTTTACGTTTCTAGTCAAATCAAACGATGTCGGTTGCAGAGCTTGCTTGCACTTACGCTTGTTTGGTCCTCCATGATGATGGGATCGCCATCACTGTATCCTTATCAACAAATTTATGAATGCCCTTTTGTGTTATTTCTTTTTTTTTGGCTTTAAATCATCAGATATGGCTGAGATCTGTAACTAGGCCTTTGTATTTTAAGGGTTTTAATTTAGGAATTTATTAGTTTACTTTACTTGCTGAGAAACTAGTGAGAAATAATGAAAACTAGGGTTGACGTTGAATTAACCATTGTTATGTGCAGTTAGTTTCACCTTTTATTTTTATGTGGTTTTATGGTTTTATATGCAATTTATTTGAGCATAAGGGAAATGAATATGAATGTAAATGGTTAATTTGTTTGTTGTTTCTGGAATGGAAGATGGGTTTTGGGTTTTTTTTTCTTAACGGTTTCATAGTCGGAGAAGATTGCACAATTGGTGAAAGCATCCAATCTTACTGTCGAATCTTACTGGCCTAGTTTGTTTGCCAAGCTTGCCGAGAAGCGTAGCATTGATGACCTTGTTATGAATGTGGGTGCTGGTGGTGGTGGTGCTCCAGCTGCTGTTGCTGGCCCTGCTGGAGGTGCTGGTGCGGCTGCTGCTGCTGCCCCTCCACCAGAGGAGAAGAAGGTAACTGAAACGCCCTTTTGTATGGTTACTTAATTATTTCTGGATGTATGAGGTTTTTGTTATCTAATATGCCTATGATTTTTTGGTGAATTTACAGGAGGAGCCCAAGGAAGAGAGTGATGACGATATGGGATTCAGTTTGTTTGATTAGGAGCTCCTTTCAGTATGTTTTTGGTCATCATCTTAAGTGTAGTTTACCTTTGGATGTATTAGTATTTTTGTTTTTTGGTTTAAGATATGGATAACTGTGAACAAACAAGTTTTGAGGAGTAATTTGGATTTTGACTATTTTATGTTTGAGGTTCTGAGTCTATACAAGGTTAATGGATTAGTTTTTATTTCTTTATTGTCAATTGTTTTCTGTGTATGCATTGATGGATTGATAATTCTCCCAAATGCTGAATCTGTTGCTTTCAGCCGATTGTGGCAGGATTGGTTCTTTGCTATGCCTTGTTAGAAACTTATAACTAGTTGTAGTTTGACATCCAATCCCATACAGTTGCCAGAGTCTTCTTGTTGCGTTCTTTTTGCCTCAATTTTGTTTTCTCAATTGCCAGATTCCTTGATAGTTTGCTTAGTAATAATGTCTCACGGTTTTTGAGACAGCACTAGAACTCTTACTGCATGCATATGGGCATGCTCTTGGTTGTGTTTGGAACAGGTCTACTAAGTTTGAGCATCAACAAGTACAACCTTTAATTTACACAAGCGCATAAAACTTACTGTTACAACGACAAAGCATTGATTTATAAATGAAACAAAATTGCGAGGCTATGTATTCTGCAACGAACCTTGAAAACTTTCTGTGGAATATAGTTATGTTCATTTAATTGCGGTGTTTTTATGATCATGGCGCTTGAACAAATGAGACATGTTTTGGGGATGTATTTGCGCTCCCTGTTAATCATTTCCATCTGGTCATGGTGAGTCCATCCGTTGAAGAGTTTTTTAATTTTAATCTCTTAAAATTTCAAGATAATGCATTGATTGGCGTTTACTTCATCAAGTATTCCTTGCATATATTAAATGCTAAGGCCATTAATCCGAGTGAGCATGACTTAATTTTATGATACTTTTTAGTAAAAGAAAATTTTTATTTTCATAAAAGCAAATTCAAAACCAAATAAGTAGATTGAAATACATAAACCTTTCTGTTCGAGGGAGGATAAAAATGAACTTATATAATTTTCAACTACGTAGCCTTTAAAATTTCGATTATAATTTATGGATATATATGTATTAATGTCTAAAATTAAGTTAAAGATTTTAAGTTAATTAACATTCTTATGGCTGGGTTTTACGCTAGTTTCATTCTTGATCTGAGTCAATTGATATAAGCTATCTATAACAGGGGATTTTATTAAAAGGTCATTTGAAGTTAAAATTTAATTAAAAGGCTATATAGTTTGTAAATGTTAACTAAATAGCCTTGTTTTCTATTAAGCTTAATTAAACATGATTAGGGGTTAATTAGGATTAATGAATAATTGTGTAATCTTTTAAAAATTATAATATGTCTCCAAAGAGTCGAAAATCTTGCAAACAAACCCAAACATCTTCTTCTTCTTCCTCCTGCCACATTAACGCATTCCTCTGCTATTTACATCTTCTCCAACACAGATCCTCCTCCTCCTCCTCATTCTCCTGACATTTCGTCCAGGTACGTGTATCTCCCCTTTCGATTTTATATTTCGATTTACAAAGATTTACTGATGGATTGAGTTTGGGTTATGATTTTAATTTAGTTGTTTAGGCTGTTGGGTTGTGTTTGATGTAATGGAAGTTGAAAGGAGTGAAATTTGTTGAAAATTTTCTTGCATTGTGGGTAGCTGGGGGTGGTAGCACCGATTGTAGGTAGAGATGACTGAAAACGTGTAGTGGATATGTGGATCGCTTAAGCAATCTGGTGTATCGCTTAAGCAATCTGGTACGTCTGGTAATGTAGTAGATAGATCGCTTAAGTGATCAGATATGTGGCATAAGATCGCTTAAGCGATATGCTAAAAGTCTGGTGTATGGCAGTAGATCGCTTAAGCGATCACTAAATGGCATAAGATCGTTTAAGCGATCATGCTTATTTACATTGGATCGCTTAAGCGATCCAGTAAACGATATACCAGATCGCTTAAGCGATACACCAGATCTGTCAAGCGATTGTGCAGATGCTTTTTAAAATATTTCAACCCTTAGTATATCTGTTAAGAATTTGTTTTTTCTTGCATTATAGGTAGTTGGCTATTATTAGACATGGGACAAGTTGTTTTGGGTGTTGAATATTTTGGTGAGTGGGTGGAGGAAGAAAGTAGCTAGAAGTGGATTGGGAAGAGCAAAGGAGTTATACCAATTGCTGTGAGCACAAAGGTTAGTTTTGATGAGTTGATTGATGAAATAATTAGAAGAGGTGATTTGACTTGCTCACGTAGTGATATAGTTGTGAAATATGTTTTAAGTAGAGTTCCTGAACATTATAGGATACCTCCTGCTATATTAAAGTCGGATGAAAGTGTAAAGTTATATATGATTGATGTGGCCGATAATGGTTTGAGGCCGATTTTAAGGGTTTCTTTTGTAGAAAAATCATTGGAAGTTGGTTCAAAGGAAGGGGGATAACGAGGAAGTTGGCGGAGATTTGCCTGGTTTTAATTTGAACTACGAGGGCATTGATTTGTTAGTTGAAAAATCAAGAGTAGACGGTGAATTGGGTAGTGAGGAGAACACTGTAGAAGAGGTTGGTCATGGGTGACAGAATGAAAATGTTGAGGAAGAGGACCCCGTACATGTTCCCGTAGATGTAGAGATTCCTTTAAATACGGATTATGCAGAAGGTGTAGTTTGTGAGTAAGAGAACACTATGGTCGTTTATGCAGGTTCAGAGGGGGCAATTGCAGGTAGTAGTGAATCAACTCATGTTTTTACGGATGGATCAGAGTTGTGCATAGGGTATTTATTTGACAACAAAGAGGAAGTGATGAGGAAGCTAAAACTTGTTGCCGTGAGAGGTAATTTTGAGTTCATCACCAAAAAGTCAAATTCATTGGTTGTAACGATTGCATGTCGTGACCGAAAGTGCAAGTGGCGAGTTTATTGTAGAAGGTTGGCGAAGTCCGAAAAAATTATTCTTAGCACATATACCCATAAGCACACATGTGGTTTGGGACATATTTCAAGTGAGCGTCGACAAGCCTCCGCTGATGTTACTGGACAATTTGTTAAAAGTCAGTTCGTTGAAGGGAAAGGTCTATCTCCTAAAGACATTCAGAGACTTGTGCGCATAGAGTTGGGATGTGCTGTTAGTTACTGGAAATGCTGGAAAGGGAGACAACGTGCACAAGATTTTGTGAGGGGCACGCCGGAGCACGAGTATGCAGTATTAGAAGCGTAACGTTATATGCTTGAGTTGACAAACCAAGGTAGCAAGACAGATTTGAAGTGGGACAGGAATATGATGTTTAAATTTTTTTTTTGTAAACATGCGAAAGGTATTGGTTGTTGATGGGAAAGTATGGAGGTACATTACTGGTGGCCACTGCATAGGACATCGAGAATCACACATATCCTATTGCATGGTGTGTGGTTGACTTTGAGAATGACAAATCGTGGACTTGGTTTTTTCAGCAATTACCTACGATAGTGACTAACAATGACGAGTTGTGCATAATATCCGATAGGCACAACTTTATAAAGAAGGGGATTGCCACTATTTATCGTCAAGCACATCACGGATTCTGTATGAGGCACCTTGGTGAGAACATAAAACAAAAGTTTAAGTGTGCTGGCCTCCTTCAGACATACTACATGGCAGCAAAAGCTTATCGGGTTAATGAGTTCGAGGAGCACTTCCAGGAAATCCGAATCAAGGATGATAGAGTTGCTAAGTATCTTGAGCATGATGTTGGTTTCGAGCGATGAAGTAGAGCTTACTTTCCTGGAAGAAGGTTTGATGTTATGACCATGAGCATAGCCGAGTCCATAAATTCGAAGTTGTTAATAGAAAGAGAGTTTCCAATAGCTGCACTTTTTGATGCAATCCAGAGGACATTGTCACGGTGGTTTCATGAGTGTCGTATGGAGTCAGACAATTTCACTACAACCCTTGTTTCGTCAGCTGAAAAATTATTGCGAGAACGTATGGAACTGTCAAATGCATTGTTTGCCTATCCTCTTAATGCTCAAGAGTTCACTGTGTGGGGCTATGGTCCGGATGCCCTAGTTAACCTTGTTAGTAAAACTTGCAGCTGTAAAGTGTTTGACATTCAACGTTTACCTTGTCCTCATGCACTAGCAGAACTGAAACACCAACGGAAGCCGGATTTTGGTTCAAGAATTTACATGGAACTTTGCTCCCCTCGCTATATGGAAAATTACTATATGCTAGCTTATTCAGAAACGATATATCCAGTGCCTCCAGAAGAGCAGTGGGTAGTGCCGACAGAGTTGGCTGACATTATCATCCATCCGCCATTCATGAAGACAGCAAAGGGGAGAAAAAGAGTTAAGCATATTCCATCAGCCTCTGAGGTTCCCTGAAAGATGAATAAGTACTAAATTTGCAAGCAACCTGGTCACAAGAGAAGCAGTTGCTAGAAGTAATCACATGCAGATCCAGAAAATTAGGTTCGAAGAAGGATAAAATTCAGGGAGTTGCCAAGGCCAACCGTTGATGAGTTATTGTTTTCAATTATTGATGTTTTAAATTTTATTTTTACCTTGTGTAAATCATTCTTTATATTTAGTATTCTTGTTACATGGCCTAAATATGTGTTGGTGATTTTAGTTTGGAATTAGGTTGTCAAATTAATGAGAAAGTATGGAATTAATATGTGTTGGTAATTTTAGTTTGTCAAAATTCAGGAGAAAAGATGGAAAAGTATCGCTTAAGCGACTAAGTATATCGCTTAAGCGACAAAAGGTTTTTCATAAAGGATCGCTTGAGCGATATCATGGATCGTTTAGACGATCGTGCACCTGGGCAGATATTGATTCTGTCCATCATATGATCGCTTAATCGACCAAGTGAAAAAAAGAAGAATTGCTTAAGCGATATCACGGATCGCTTAGGCGATCATGCACCTGGGCCGATATTGATTCTGCCTCAGACTTTATCGTTTAAGCGATCTAAAATCGCCGGAGCGACACTTTGTAAAAGCAAAGAATCGCTTAAGCGAGACCCTAAATTGCTTAAGTGATCGTGCATCGGACTTGATCGCTTAAGTGATAGAAAATCGCTTAAGCGATCCTATGTAAACGAAGTTTGAATGACTAATCAACAGATTGTTTGTGCAAATGGTTTTGTAGAGTTACAACTCCGTACATAAAACTAAATTATCTACACTTATTATATTACTG